CAACGCGCAAAGGACCATAAATCTTTCGCAGAACTTTTCTCTCGAAAACTCGCAACGTCGACTCATCAGTTGTTTACATCGTCCAAGCATCTGCACCATATACGAGGACGGGAATTATGAGTGACTTATAGAGTTTGGTTTTTGTTTGTCGAGAGAGGACTTTRCTTCTCAATTGCCTACTCAGTACGAAGTAGCACATGTTGGCAAGAGTTATCCTGCGTTGGATTTCCAGGCTGACATTGTTGGTGGTGTTTAAGCTGGTTCCAAGATAGGCGAAATTATCTACAACTTCAAAGCTATGACTGTCAACAGTGACGTGAGAGCCACTTTTCGGCTTGGAGTGGTCCTTCCCGTTTCTGGCGAAGCTGTTGGTGTTGTTCAACGTCAGTTTACACAGCCGTATTAGTTTTGCGAGGATACCAGATTCAGACATCGCGGCATAAAGGCAGCTCCTTTTCCTGCTGTTGAAAGATGCTTTGAAATCGACGAAGAGGTGGTGTGTGTCGATTCTCCTTTCACGGGTCTTTTCCAAGACTTGGCGCATGGTGAATATCTGGTCGGTTTTTGATTTGCCAGGTCTAAAGCCACGCCGATAAGGTCCAATCAGTTTGTTGACGGTAGGCTTTAATCTTTCACACAATACGCTCGATATAACCTTATATGCGATGTTGAAGAGGTTTATCCCACGGTAGTTGGCGCAGATTGTGGGGTATCCTTTTTTATGGATTGGATACAGCACACTTAAATTCCAATCGTTAGGCATGCTTTCACTGATAAATGCTCCTTATAAGTTCTTCGCCACTGTGTTTGAATAATTCGACAGGCAATCCATCGGCCCCGCCGATTTATTGTTCTTCAGTAATTAATTGCTATTCGAACTTCATCAGGGTCGGGCAAAGCAATGTCTGCTCCATCGTCATCGGTTGCGGAATCGGGTTCAGCCTGTTTTCTCTCCGCTGCGACACTTCATTCCTCGGCGTACCAGTTGTTCTTTTGAAGTTTCCGAAAACCAATGGTTTCGGTTGCAGCTGTACGTAAGGAGTTTGAAATGCCGTCCCACAGTTTCCTTATACCGAGTTGTTGACTAGTGCTCCCAGAGAGCAGCAGTGCAAGCCGTACGTAGTGCCAAAGATACCTTCTTTGCCCAACCTGGCTTTAAAGTCGCCAAGCACGATTTTGGCATCGTGGCGGGGGCAGCTCTCATAAGTGCGCTCGAAGCCCTCATAAAAGGCATCTTTGGTCACATCACCCTTCTCATCCATCATTGCGTAGGCGCAAATATGTTGAAGAACCTCGCTTTGATGTGGAATGATAGTACTCGTCGACGGAGTCTCTCTCCCACCCCGATCCCACACCAAACTTATGCTGCTTTATATGGCCTCTGCAGTAAATGCCACAAGGACCTATTCGTCTCTGTCCTTGTTTCGTTCATCGCATTTCTTGGACGGCGGTGATGTCAGCCTTTATTTTCACGAGGACATGAACCAGCTAGGCAGCGGCACCTTCCCAATTAAGGGACCGGACATTCCAGGTGCATGCCCTCAATTCGTAGTCTTTATTTCGTTTGCCATGGTCTTCATCAAAAGTGGGGTCTCTCATCCGAGGGTGGTTGTTCCTTTTCATTTGGGATGTTTTTTACGTGGCGGGCACCAAACCCTGCGCGCAACCCTGTGTCCGTGATTCAAACGGATGTTCTTAAAAAAACGTATAAAATTGCCATTTGACGTTGGCGGTTATGAGGAACATCTAATTTGTGTTTATTTGCGCACTGCATTCGTTGTGGAGGCAGACCTTTACGATACGTACGCGACTTCTTTTTTTTTTTTTTTTTTTTTTTTTTTTTTTTTTTTTTTTTTTTTTTTTTTTTTTTTTTTTGCTATCGGCCTTTATCTTTCTTTTTACTTTTGGAAACAGGAAAACGTCACAAGTCGTCAAGTCGGCCGATGTCCGAGTATTATTATTAGCCCCAAATTCACGATAAAATGCCCGTTATTTTCTTAACACATCTCGTATGTGTTCAATGTAGGGTCTTCAATATTTGTCTTAATAGGTCTAAAATATTTCGAAACATAATTCAAAAGAATAAGAAATCGCAACGACATAACTTTGGTGGAACCTCAGGACCGATATTTTGCAAACCAATTTTGGCATTGTCGTTCGAGCAACACAACTTCTCCGTACGTATCATCAGTAAATAAGCACGATCAACATTGCGGATTATAATCAGATTAATATCTTTCTGAACATGATCATTTTGTCATAGTTAGTCTGCAGCGTCTTAAAATGGCAATTGTCTTCTAGACAAAGTTTTTCACAAGGAGCCGTAGAACATTTCCCACATAACCGCTTTTTCCCTTTATTTTTTTTTTTTTTTTTTTTTCTTTTGGCTGCCTGTAAATCGATGCGCTCTGATGCATAGACACTTACTCGGTATTCATAACATTGCCATTACGGCTGGTTGCAGTTTTATCAAAAATATAAATAGTTATGTATACTTATTAGATTAGTACTATGACATCTCAATAACACGTCAACAGTTGTCAATAAAAATTGGTTGCAGGTAAAAAGTTTACAAATTAGTTCCCATTATGGTTAATTAGCAAACAAAAACTATTATAATAGACAAATTTCACAACAATTACTACGGCAAGTAAAGGCTTAATTTTATTTGAATTAAAAAAAAAAACAATTAATTTGTTTGTAACCAAATTATTTTTTAAAAAAGCGTCAGCAATGAAACGTGAAAGCAGACTAGGCAGACCATGACATTCAAAAAAAAAAAAAACAAAAACAGAAATAAAAATATAATTTTCAATTAAAAATATTATAAATGTATCTACTTTCCCTAGGCGTTGCAGTAACACTTTAAATTTGATTTCAGCAACAAGTCGGCAAGAGAACACGGTACTGCAATGATGAAAGATATTTTCATTTTAATGATACTGGCTGCCTTATATAGTATAGTTGTGGTAAGGTTTTCAGAATATGCTTAATATATGACCAATTCTTAATTATTACCTATCTTACAGTGTAAAGAAATGATAGCTGACGAAAAATATGAATTAGCTTGCTTGATTGAGGCGCATGTGACCGAAGCGGATTTAAAAAAGTTCCTTTCGAATGGCCTAAAAGCTAATGAAGCCAATGCGAACATAAAATGTATGGAGAAATGCATAATGGAGAAGCGGGAAATAATTAAGAAAGGTGTTTTCGATCCCGAGAAAGCCTATGCGGAAATCATACGAATGCCAGAGCTGAAGGGGCAAGAGGACCATATCAAAGAAGCAATAAATGTTTGCAAAACTGAGAAGGGCGCCAATGATTGTGATACAGCTTTCAAGATTGCCATGTGCCTTGAGGAATTCAAATCGCGTAATGCATAATTTTAATGAAATATTTTCAATCCGAAAAAAGAAATAGTAAAAACAAAGTTCTTGAGGCGCGGGTATTAATAATAAAAATTAAAAAATTAATTAAGTAAAAAAATGTAATGATGGCACTTAGCTTACATAATTGTTTAAGAAAGCKACATTTTCAAGGTTCGTCGGAGATAGAAGGAAAAAAAATTG